TTTCCCACATTACACCAGTGCTTCCAGTCCCAAAACAGCTGGTACCCCCTTTTCCATTAATCTACCAGTACTGGGTCACAGACAGCCTCATGTCTATCCCAGTAAGCTTAGGGTGAGCATGGGACATCCTGGACGGCATGCCAGGCTACCACAATAAACACACACACTCAGGTTGCTCCCTGGGGGCGATTTAGGGGCACAGAGTCGCTTAATGTTTGTGGAGTACCTATAAGAAACAGGAGAGCCACGGGGAGAACATCCACACATATACAGAGAACGTGGAAATCGAACCCTTGACCCTGAAGGTATGAGACAACATTGCTACCTGGGACGCCACCACACTGCTCACACTGCTGGAATTAGTGATAATTAAGGGCAGAACACCCTGGTTAAAAAGTGAATCAGTGTCCAAATTACTTAAGAGCCAGACAATTCAAAGTCACACGAGAAGCACTTCAGGGGGAGAGGAGTGTGAAATCCGCCATCTTCCGTCTTTGTGGATCTGCAGCTCGGTATTTCTGCTGCTGTGTCCTGCCCCACTCCCTGACGTCCCTGGGGGGTCATGTAAATAATGGCAGGATTAGCCCCAACGAGGTCGGGAGCAATGGTTAGCAGCGAGGAGGAGAGGAAGAGGCCTGACGCGGTTACCAAAGCGACCCCCGCGACTCCTGCGAGTTGAGGCGGTGTGTGATTCTGCTCTCCGACAGCACATTCCGAGTTCTGCTCGGAGTCGGTGAACTCAATCGGAACGGCGGGGCGGAAGGGGGGCTCTGCAGCCGGCAGCTGAGACGCCCCCCCCCCCGCTTTCAATTAAAATGCATTACTGGAGGCAACCCCAGGAACCCGTAGATTTCTAGCTGACTCATGCCCCTCTCTCTCTCTCTAGGTCAGCATGATTTATGACAGGACTGCGGCAGAAAGGAACCCCCTCCTGCACACACACCGACATGCCTTCCCCGCCCCTCTGGTCAAAAACCTACTGTGTTGTAAGTCGCGGCTACAGGCGAAAGAAGGGGGCCGCACTGCCGAAAGGTGTGGATTTCCCAGGGTTCCATGCAGCAATTTGTGGGTGTCTTTGTGTTGCTATGTCCCCCCCCACCCACCCATGCAGCTGGCAAACAAATTTGGAATGGCGGCGCTATAACAGCGTGACAACAAAGGTGGCAGAAAACAGCAACATCCACATCCGTCTCCAATGGCGACGGCAGGTGTTCCGGAATCCCGCTGGGTTCCAAGGAGACGCGCCTCGTTCTCACTTGGCAGCAAGGGGGCGACACCAGCCTGCCACTTTCCACCTCGACAGCGGCTGCCCAGGTGGTATATGGGCTCTGTCTGGAGGAGTAGGTGATGCAGGGCCGGACAGGCCCTCCCCCCCTCCCCCAACACCCTCCCCTGGATTTCAGGGAGGGTGTTCAGGGCGTCCCATCTGTGGCATGAGAAGCTTGCGAATGACAGATAATGGAGCGGGGTCCACTGATCTCGTCCCGATAAGTGACAGAGCGCCGGGGGCCGAATTAATGAAGCATGGGCGACGGGCGGAGCCAATCATCTGTCTTTAGCGACGGCACGGCGCCAGGAGAGCAGCGTGGAAACTGGGCCATCAATCACCTGGCGCTGCCACCGGCGAGCTAGAGCCGCCGCAGCCAGCCGCAACCTGCACACAGGTGCCGACACCGACTTACCTAGCTGCCTGAGAGCTGCGGCGAGTTCTGCGCCGGGTGCCGGTCGCATGTTCTGCAGCGTGTGCGAGTGTGTATGTGAGAGAAGGAGAGACGGATCTCAGCTGCGGAGAGTCCGCCCCGGCGATGCGGATGTGCGACCTTACACAAAGACCGGCGGCCTCAGGAGCGGCCGGGGCGATTACCAAACCTGCTCCATGCTGCATCGCAAACAGCTGGGGGAGCAGGGAGCCTAACGGGAACGGTAACAGGAACGAGGAAGCGCTAGAGATTGCAAGAGATAAAAGAGGATGGCAGAAGTTCTGATTGGCTAACCGGTCTGGCCAGTGAACAAGTGCTTGAGCCCCCCCGAGACTAAGTTTATCTTGCAAATGCATAGTTTCTCCCTGGGGGGGAAGCGGAGGGCAACACCCCCTCACCGGATTGAGAGGGCCGAGGAGTGCCCTGTCGGATGGTGTCATTACTCCGCTGTGGCTGTTCTTCTATACTCACAGACGCTCTTATCGGCGGAGGGGGGAGCAAATCCGAATAATTTCCTCATTATCTGCGTATGGATGGGAGACAGAATATCCAGAATACCCCCCCCCCCACCTCTCACCTGCATGCAGCTTTGAATACCAAACAGCCGCGTTCATTTTCAGGTCTATCTACACAATTGCATTTTACTCCTGTTTTTGTTTATGGATCTCTGTTTGCTTTACCATTCCATTTAAAAACCATGAAGCCTGGCCATTAAAAAAAAACACATTGCGGGTTCATGTAGGGAGCGTTTTCCTTTGCGATGCCAACCCCCCCCCCCATCTATCCCCCTCATTCCCACTCCTCTCTGCCTGTAATTACACAGAAAGTGTCTCATGTAAGCTGGACAGTAATGGGAGTAGCTCTGGACCAGTAACCATCTGCCACACTCATCCTCACGCTGAAGGACAGTGCGACGGGAAGCCTGGCCTCCCCTAAATGCGGCCGTGCCACCGCAGACTCTCTCATTAGCGGGACGGGAGGCCGGCGCTGCTGTTCCCACCGTCGCTAAGGGAGGTCAGCCTGCAGTCGTCATTTGCATGCAACGCTGAGGCAGCTGCAGGCTCTAAAAGGAGACTGAGCGTTGCTAGGAATGATGCAAGAGAAACTGAGAATCTCCCCCCAGGTGGTACCGGACCTCCCCCCCCACCCCAGTGGCCCGAGCTGTCCCTGCTCAGGCCTGGTCCCTCTGGGGTGCTGGCAAGAAGCGCATCTCTGCTTCTCATGAATCTTTCATTCCCCCGGTGTAGAAACGCAGGCCACACCTTATACATTATGCAGGGATCCTAAACACGTTTTTCAGAAATAATTGCGATTACAACTTAAGTCCCGGGGACTGCCTTTCACGGAACTGCACACCTCTCCTACCTCCATCATCATTTTCTTCACGAGGAAATGGAGCCAGAATGGCTTCTTATATCTCTGCCAATGATAATATTATTACCCTAATCTACGGTCAGGAGTCAGTGAGACACTATCTATGTCAAATGAACCAGGCCAAGTACAGGTGACATCCTTAGTGGATTTAAAATTTATATATTTCACAAAGTGCAATATAAAAAAAATAAATGCGAAAATATAAACTAATCTGGAAAATGTCTGCAGTGTCAGTATACATAGTAAAAGTATGCAAAACAATTTTTTATTTACATACTTTTTAATATATATGTATGCTTTAACTTCTGTCGACTAAACAATGGCCGAGTAATGTTCCATTTATTTAAACCTTTGTTGATGGACTATAGGGTGACCTTAGACAGACAAGCCTTTTCAGACTTGCCAATGAGTCGTGGGAGCCCATCGACAAAATCGTTTAACAATCAGAGCCGAGACAGACCAATTTTCTCAGCCCCCAACCCTCATCTGCCAGTCCATTGTCTCGGGTGTGATGCAGCTCTCGACCTCTGACCCATCTGTAAACCGTCTGTCCGGCAATAGATTTCATGCGCCGTTCCAATCCACGCTGACGTCTTGACGACGGCAGCTGTGACCTCTGGGTAAATCTCGCCTCCCCTTTCTATCGAACGCTGCTTTGCATTATGGGATCATCCGTCACTGACATCAAGGACACGTTCAGAAATGTAGCCACCGCGTGCCATCTCACGCCAGGATAGCAAGCTCTACGAGTAACAAACCGCTACAAATATCTAGGGAGCTTAAATAATGCTTCATTCTCTCCCTCTTCCAGATCTATGTGCAGCTTTTCAGTACCTAAGCTAACATTCCTGGTCAAATGCCTCGCTATCTCAAGTCGTGTTAAGTCAAGTAGGGCTTTATTGTCACACCAGCCATATTCAATGCACTGCATGGACAAGACAAGTCAAGCAAGACAAGAGCTGGTTCAGACCGTTGTGCCCTCTGCACTAAACCTCATAATAAGTGCCACAGCATATGTGCTACGAACAAAGCACAAGCAAATCAGATGCCCCTCATTCCAATCTGTGCCCCGGCAGCTGTAGAAGCGGTGAGTCGTCAAGTGTGACGAATCCTTACAGGCTCTTTGGCATCTGTAGCTCACTCTGTCTGCATGATTGTGCAGAATTTCAGATATCCCGGAACGGTTTCATTTCAATTTTATTGTGAGTTCCATTCTTACAGGCCGTGTATATAACGTATAAGCATAAAAGCGTATAGCGGAAAGGAAATACTGCCCAAGGAATGGAATCATGGTTTTAGACCGGAAAATACGACGCACCTCAATCTCCTAACGCCACCCTCCATCTCTCTGTCCACTGCTCTGCAGACGACCAGTGAATCACTTGACTGCTATGACAACCCAACTTTGCTAGATTATTAAATTAAATCGCCGATAACATTCGCGGCCCGGCTTGCCACCGATGTCTCTCTGGGGTGCCGCTATGTGAAACGGGGTTTGAAAATTACCAAGGGAGGAGATTTTAAAAAAAAGAACTTCACTGAGGCAACAGTCAAAATCCTTGGACCGGAGTGGCTTTGTGGCGATGTTTCCATCATATCTCGAACTGTCACCCAACCACTGAAAATATGAACATTTCATTTTCTGCTGGCTGCTATAGGAATCTCAGGCGGTGCCAGAATAGGCTAAATAATCGTGCCAGACTCTGCTAATGGCAGTGGGCGTCCTGGGCGTGAATCAGTTCCTGATTACTGCAAGAAGGGTCACGGGTGCAATCGATTCCTATCCTTGTGGTTCGTATCGAAAACTTTATATGTGTAACTGCAGGATGGGACTGAGGAATAAACCAGTAACGGCGATGCTAATAGCAGTTAGCAAATAGCACAGGATGCACTGGAAGGGGTGACCAGTGACCCCGGGCTCCTTACCGATCTCGCAGCTCTCCCCGGAGTATCCCTGTGGGCAGTAGCAGCCGTAGCCATTCCCTTCAGGCAGGCAGCTCCCTCCGTGAAGACAGGGGTTGGTCTGGCAGGGGTTGTCCTCAGCTGTGGAGACGGGGCACACCGAAAACGTTAGAGTGAGTCAACAGGGCTGCTGGACCTCGGACGCAGGGGCTTGATTGTGCTCCATCCCACTTGGCGCCTCGGGCTTGTAGACACTCAGCCTAGCATTTCATGACTGGTGCGATTTCCATGGTGATGGAGGTGACCTCAGACCAGAGACAGAAAGCCGTACCCAGAGGCGATTCTAGGGACTTCGGGGGGCCTGGGCAAAAATCCATGGGGCCCTCCAACTCACCCTCCCCCAATATGGTAAAATTTATTACCATTATTTTAGCAATCTAACAAAGACAATCTAAGTTGATAATTTTCACTTTTGTGAAAAAAACAGGATACATAAATAAAGCAGATGTGTTGTTGAAATGTACTAAATCGGCCACCCTGGGGGACCCCTCCCAGCCTGGGGCCTTGCCTGTCCTGTCGCTATACCTCTGGCCGCACCCATTAGACTGTCCAGCAAACGGCACGGCCAATGCATCTGAAATCTGGCGTTAACTAGGCAGCTCTCAAAGTGGCGTCAATTGCAGAACACCGGCGAGGACGCGGATGTTTGTCTGATATGCCCACGGTGAAGATGGAGGGGAAACTCCAGACTTTCAACGCAGAAAGGGCACCGGCTATTGGTTGATCAAGATGGATGGCGAGCAGTGGAGGACAATGCTAAACGTGTCCGGCTGACAAGCCGGCCTTCATAAATAATGAGATCATTATGCAGTCGGAGTCCAAAGAGCGATGAAGTCTGCCGCATCTTAGAGCACCGATCTAATGCAGCAGTTTCACTCTTCCGTGCTATGACACCTTAGTTTAGCAGAGTCTTTCTGCGGATAAATGGCACAATTTAACAGATTAAATTACGATTAACTCCACTTTTGTGAGAGGGAAATTTACAGAGACAATGCATTATGCTTTATCTCTCTGCCTTACTAAGGAGATTAAGCGCTGTTTCATGATCCATTAGAGTATCATGAATTCGGACGTGATCGGATGGTACATCAAATGTACCATATTGGGCGCTATATAAAACTTGTCATATACTCTTAAACTCTAGCAGTGACATGGATAGAGGGTGACACCCTCACAGGCAAAGCATATCACATTTCTGCGGTGACCACGCAGAATGAGCAGCAGAGACAAAGGCATGGAGAAAGTGCCACAGAATGCAATTTCGCATCAAGATCAGGCGGGAGAGCAATTGCCTTTTAATCAGGTATCGCTAATAAAAACAGGTTGTACGATATATGGGCAGACAGAAGCTCTGAATGATACTGTCTTCAAGAATATATAAAAAACGCTAGAACCCAGTGACATCCTGGCCAGGATATAACTGTGTACGACCCTCCAACCCGGTACTTGATAAGCAGTTGGAAGATGAGATGGATGTTTAACCAGCTTTGATCCTGTTCTACACGTAAACATACATTGTTAGAATTAGGGGTGTACATTGTAAGCCACGATACCATTTGATTTCGATTTTGCAAGGCAGCAGGTTGACATCAGGCAATATTTGAAATGTTACCGCGATACGACTCGATTCAGTAATCGAAGATCGATATTTTCAATTCAATAAATTTTAGTGGAACAAGATTAAAGCAACATTATAAAAATAAATGTTTAATTGTTCATATGTTGAAAAAATATACAAAGTATTTAAAAGAAAAGAATAATAATAATAAAACATTTTGTCTTGTACCTATACTTTAGTAACAAAAAAACTATTTCTGGATTTTCTTCTCCCTGAAAACACAGGAACATAGATGTACCAACCTACATAGAATGTACTGTACTGTACTGTAATGTGTTGGTCTCCACTCTCTACAAAGGTGAATCTCTAGATTGCTTTATGTGTGAGATTGTTTTCACAGACTTTTCCAGCAGCATTTCAGCGTATCGTCATAGTTTAATGATACGAATCGCTATTTGTTAATTGAGTCGATTGAATCGTATCATGGCCTTAACAATCAATATATCGATCAGAATCTCTGAATTGTCACACGCCTATTAGAATGTCCGAGCTGCTTAATAAATTGTGTAATTATTGTAGTAATTACAGGATTACATGCATGCATGTGCACACACATAATAGGGAGTTTTATGGGCTGCAGCAGAAATTGCTGACTGGTGACAGTTGAGCTGTAATGCCTGCCGGCGTCATTTCAGGGAGCGATGAGCACTGCTGTCTGAAACCCACTCGTCCTCAGCTGAGACAGGAAGCAAACGACCGAAATCGCTTATACGCAGAAACAATAAAGACATGAACAGAAAAATGCACTATCCCACCACCGAGTGTGAGCATCCAACAGCGACGCAAGGAACCTTTTCGCTTCGCTGGTTCTTCATCTCGCCCAGTAAAAGGGAATCTACTTGCCAACCTAAATTTGCTTAAACTGGCAAAAGAAAAAAAAGCCCAGCTTGCTCTCAGGCAGCTCTGGCCCGGTTCAGTCGAGTGACTCAAAGAGAGATGTGAGGCACGTGTGCGTTGACAGCGAGGCTGAGCGCTGTGCCCACGGCCAGCACAGGGGGAGGGACGTCCACTCGGTGCTCACACAATTAGTCACAAATTATCGAGCGCAGACGGTTACTCGCCGGCTGCATGCTGGGGCCAGATTTCTGGCGGTGACTTTACATGCAGATACAAGCACAAGTGGACAAGCGCACACACACATACACATACACACACACACACACACACACACACACACACACACAAGCATCACCTGCACGTTCCTCATGATGCTGTACTTAAATCCCACCCTGTTTAGTTCAGATCCTTCTATCTGCATGTTATTAAGAAGGGCTCTTCTATCTGAGCGTGTGGCTGGGAGTGAGATATCGAGAGGGATTAGCTCTGTGTTACAGAGCGGCTCTATCAGCTTATATTGCGTAGCACTGTGCCCATGGCTAATTAGAGCAGTGTCTCTCAGCCCAGTCCTTGGGGCCCTCGACAGTCCACGTTTTTGCTCCTTCCCAGTTCCCAACAAACCCGTATCACGTATTCGGCGATCTTGATTGGCTAGGAGATGGGAGGAAGCAAAAATATGGACTGTCTGGGGGTCCCCAGGGACTGACACTGAAATAAAGTCCTCCCTTAAAAGAGAAGAGCCCCCTTCCTCTCCATCTCTGCCCAATTTTCCCCCCATCTGTCTTGCCTCCGGTGCTTCCCCCTGTTCGCCGAGTGGAAAACTAGCCGTGGCGACACCGTGGGACGGCATCCCCGGCGGAGCTTCGAGGGGCCCCGTGCCGACTCGCGCCGGCGAGGTGGGGGGGGCGTTAGATCTTCAGTAGGTGGGTAGCTACATTGGAGATTGTCCCACCACCACAGGGCTCGAGGCAGCAGCCATCCGCCAAGATGACTCAGGCATGCTGAGCAATGAAGCCACCTCACACTGTTGGGAGGGAATTTGCCTTTTTGTTTGATTCTTTTGATTAAATTCTGTAATTAAATGCGACAGTTTGGTCATTTGCGAGCCTACAGATATACCTCTAGCTTTGGGTATCAGTGTTGCGAAAGATCCACCGTCCTCCACACAGAAACACACACACACACACACACACTCCGTCTCCGATGCCTCCCCGCTCCATCGTTCCAAGAATTACTGAGCCTCGTAATGGGATAGCAGAGACAGGGATCACGGCTTTGCTGAGCTCAGGTGGGTCTCTACACGCCAGATAAGCCATTACTCCTGAACCTGGAGAACGGGCCACCAGAGCAGCACTTTCGGGACATAATCTAGAACGCGATCCCGCATGCTGTCTGGGCAGGCTGATGCTTAGGAGCCAAAGAGTAGACGTAATCGGTTCCCGGGAAGGTCATCGTGGAGGTGTACTTGTCAAAATCGGAACGGTTGCTCTGGAATTCCAAAAAGCTCACAGGCTTTACTGATTAAACGACGGGGGAAAAACCAACAAAAAAAAGTCATAAGACCAGTACAATACATCCACTTAAAAAATGTTGCCATATCTGCTGACCTAAAAAATAAATATAGGTTGGGTTGGCTGGGCGCTGATCTGGGAGCGGAGGACGGCTGCATGGTGGCTGATCATTTACTTGCTGTGAGAGAGGTTTTGATGCCGAACGCTGAAGAGCTTCCATGGGAATATGAAACCCGCTTCTGCCCAAAATAAGGCTGCTGTGTTTGGATACAACACAAAAAAGGGAGAGATTTAGGAGCCCCAGAAGGGTCCTTGTCCTGCTCCGGCCTGCAAGCCCCTGTCCTCCAGACATATGCAGAATGAATCATGGGAGCCTTATCAGCCAATCCAAATTCACAGCTCCAGATGTAGTTATGTGGCTCGGGAAGGTGGAGACGCGCGGTGAAGAAGGAGCCAGACTCCGTGAGATGGATGTGCTGCCGTCAGGATGAATGTAGAGCAGCATGACGGTCCCTACAAAGATCTCCCAAGAGGGGCCGCAAGGAGATCATGTGACACGAACATAACACACAGGGCTCCCTGGTTAATCAATCCTGCTGTATCGACCACGCTGCGGTGGTCTTGGGACTGGGCGCATCCCACGTGCTCTCAGCTAAAAGTTAAGGTGTTGGAATCTGGAAGATGCTAAATGCTATAGAGAATCCCAAAGCCCCTATATTCATTTTAGTGTGTGATTACATGTTCTTTGGGGGATACGCCCACAATCAGGGCTGGGGGGTTTTGAATTCTGCCTCTTGCTTTGTCTGTGTGGAGCTTGCATGTTCTCTCCATGTTTCCTCCTGCAGTCCATAAACATGTAGTTATGTGACCCAGGGTGGATGTGTCCTGTGATGGACTGGCATCCTGCCTGTGAACTTCCCAGTCCTCCAGACAGGCAGAATGGATTTCCCTTTCCTCCGGGGTGAGGCTCCAGTCGTACCATCACCAGTGTTGGGCAAGTTACTCACAAAAGTAATCCACTACAAAGGTGGAAAGTTCAGGTCCAGAAAGTACAAATCCAGACCAAGGTTTTGTTTCAACCAACCCGTTGAGTATAAAGATTCACAGTCACAGAG